GATATATTATACATACCTATTTTTAAATTCATTTAATATTTATAATTATCTAATTAATAAATTTATTTTTTAATATAAATTTAATGATATTAAAATTTATTTAATCAATAAACTGTAGCTAGAATTGATTATAAAAAGAGAAATGATCCATTTATCTAACTCTTAAATATTTTCTTTAAATTTGATAGAAGATGATAAAAGAGGGGAAGAAGATGATAAAAGCTGCCAAACAAAATAAAAGCCTAGATATCCTCAAAATATGGTAATTTGATAGAAAATTCAAAGCTTGACATAGAACCCCATGCTTGATGAATTGTAGATCTGGGTTTTGAAAGAACGAAGAAGAGGGGAAGTAGACAAAGACGATAGAAGCCGATCCCGAAATCCCTAAATTCCCAATTTTATTCTCTAAACAATTTAAGGGTATAAAAGTAATTTTTGTCTAATATGCTAATTTTAAGTGATTTGTCTAGGTGTGCCTCCACCTCAGCATCCATCTCAGCCAAAAAATGGCCACGTCAGACACAAAGGAAGGGCTGATGAACGGAATGTTAAATGTTAACGGAAATGTTAAGAGAAGGGCTGATTTGCCACTGCAGGGGAGTTGAGGGGCTGATTTGCGCGTGAAGTGGGTTGAAGGGGTGATTTGCCACCAGTTGTTGAGTTTAGGGGCTGATCTGCACCTTTTGCCTAATTTTATTGGCCTTCCCCCTTCACCATATTTTAGTGCTTTGAAGGCCCGTACGGATTGGAGTACAAAAGGCCCACCCCTGCCACGTGTGTTTAATCTAACCACTCATCAAAGGAACGGGGGACGCAATAATTGATCGAATCTTGCTTCAATCTCAAGCGCCCAAACAATACAATCATGTCATCCATCGTACTTCTTGACCCCACTGGCTTCCCTGTCCCCCCTTTTTTCTCTACTCCTTTGTCGAGTTATGGCTGCGTGCGTCCCTTAGCTGTAAAGCTAACAAAATCCTTCGTCATTACTTTGATTAAGTAATAATTACTCTCTAACTCATTTTTACTAGAATTAATTTTTTAGTTCTTCATGTCTATAGTAGAGTGGTTTATCACTTAACTTATAGTGGCAATACCATCTTGAGCTGAAAGTTTGAGTTTTTAGTAATAGTTAAATTTAATAAATAGTTTATTAATTATATAATTTATTTTAATTTCATTTAAAAACAAAATTTTCTTTTAAAATAATTTATAAATTATTAATTTTATTTTAAAATAATTTACTTAACCAACATTCCTTAATTAAACTAATAGAATT